TATTAAAAGAGCTATCATCATATGTGAAGAAAGATAATGATTACAAAGCTTATAGAGAAAAGCTTGCACAAAAGCTGAATTTCTTTTTGTGATTGTTGAGGAATAGAAATTGGGCTGGTCTTAGAACTGAAAGTAGATGGTCCCTCACTTTTACCATTTGAAAACCCAGAGGCAGAATCATTCTTTACTGTTTCTAAATTGTATGACGTTTCTTCTAAAGATTTCCCAACAGGTTTACCATTTTCAACGGTTTTTGAAATTTCATTAGTAACAGACGTAGACACACTGTTATCAATGGTCTGTTCATTGCTAGATGTATAAACAAAATCCTTGATTGAAGATGGCGTATCCAAGGATTCTAATGTTTCATTGCTTTGTTCTCCAGAATTATTCTGAGAAACTTTGGTAAGAGGTGGCGCTGAATTACTTGCAAAGACATGCTTAGATGAGGTACCAATTTCCATGTTGTCACCACCATCATCACTTCCAATATCATATTGACCCACACTGGCGTGATCATCGTCTTCTTCCTCTTCCTCCTCTTCATTTTCTACACATGGAAGTTGTTCATTCTCACCTAAAGGTTCCATCTCAATGCTTTCATCAATTAATTGTTGTTTGGATAAATAGACTCTAGATACAAGCCAATGATGCAACCCTAAATCACCACAACCTAAACATGAAAGGGTCGAAGGTATTGTAATTGTTATACCATCAACTGTTATTGTATCTCTATGACGTTGTGATGATGTTACATGTTTTCGCACTTCATTCCACTCTTCATCATCATGTGCCATTGTGTTAGTTTTACATTGCTCAAGAAGAGCAAATATTGATGTTAATTTCAATGCACCAGGTGACGAGAGGATGTTTTCGGATGAATCCCCTGATTTTCCACTTGTATAAGATTGATTTATACTTTTTATTTCTTCATAATGAGGTTGCATCCAAGGAATGACAATCGTTCCCTGACCAACTCCACGAAAAGAATCCAGCTTTTGTGCAAGCTTTTCTCTATAAGCTTTGTAATCATTATCTTTCTTCACATATGATGATAGCTCTTTTAATA